AACGCAGTAATTATTTTGAGAGGTTTTAAGTTTAAATTGAGATTTTTAAGGGAATTATTGATGGATTTGAATAAATTAAAGTTTTAACATGTAGAGAATTTAATTATCTATAAAATACTATTAAAATTTAATGAATTATGTTTTAATTTTTGATAGTTTTTTTGATAAAAAGCAAAAAATTTAAAAATTTAAAAACATAAACATAAAAGTTAACATAGCGGCGTTATTTATTATCCGATTTTATTGATCCAAACACTATTTTATTCATATTTAAATTCTCTATCATGTAGATTTTTAAATTTTAATAATATAAACAATTATAATAATTTAATTTGAGTTTAAATTTAAAACTATTGGATTTTTACAATTTCTTTGCGTCTTTTTTAAATTTAAAAGATAACAAAGAAGAATTAAAATTAATTATCTCATTGGGGTGTCACCCCATTCATGAAAGGGTGAACTGACACGCTGAACAAACATAATGCGCGCTAATATGCGTGTCACACATTTCGGTGGGACTCTAAGCAGAGCAATAAAATATCAACCTCAACACAATACTAATACATACTCTACTCTACTCTAAACTCGAAACAGAAAAGTCAAAAATTAAAAATATTCCCTCACTTTTACCTATACCCAGCTTATACCCTTAGTTACCTTCTGTACACCAAGGTAATAATAGACAGTTGCAGGGATTAGTGAGTTGGTAATAACTCCGTTGTCCCTTTTACAGCCATTCATTTCTGAACATTTCAAGACCGAAAATCTCTAAAATGTAAAAGTCCAAAAGTCATTCATTCAACTGTAGTAGGTATTTACTACGCTTGCTACTATTTAATGCTATTATTGACACCTTGACATTGGTGACTTTCGGGGATGTCGGATTGAAAAGTTAAATCGGTCTTAAAAGTAGAATTCCGGGCGGTGGACAATGGAAACGTGGATAGGAAGTTCAATTGTGTTGAGGACTGCTGAGGAGAAGTTTTGAAAAGAACCGGTGACCATTTGATTGTCCAGAAAGTCATTTCCGGTGCGGGGGTATTAACTAATAGTACATTGACATAGTCACAGAGTCACACATTGGCAGATGACAGGTATAATTGTGTTATTAGTTGAAATAAAATTAAATTTAAGGCAAAATTTATGTTTTTGTTGTGTTTTACGACTGTAGAGGGCGCCACAACTTAAATATGGCGAATGTATTTAATAAAATTAAGTTTTTTGCTTGTAATTTATAAAATTTGCACAAGAATTAGGAAAATATTTACATTTTATTTGATATAATAACATTTTTCACTTTTTTGACATTTTTTCATCAATTTTGAAGAGAATTTCGCAAAATATGGTTGTTTGTAAAGTAGGTTTACGATCGAGATGTTTACGTGATAACGTCTTATTGGTGATATTGGTTTTTTTTTGTTGCAATTGTTGTAACACTTCACATTTTGTTTCACTGTTAAATATTCAACGAAAACTTAACCGCACGAGAAAATCTCCATTCGTTTGTATGCCGCTAGAGTGAGAGAGACGGAAGATCGGTCCACTCACTCGAACACTATGCCTGCCTCCGCTCGTGTGGATTCCGCGTGTCAAGTTTCACGGAATGACTGGCAGCGCTCGAGATGAGACGGGAGATCGGTCCGTCTCTCTCTCTCTCGTTATACCTGCGATCGGAGGCCTCGTGACACAAGTTTCTGAACATGTCACCCGACTAAAACGATTTTAAAGACGTTATCACGTCAAAAACAAAAAAATTTCTTAAAAAATGTTGTTTTTCCTATTTTGACTCATAAACCACTGTTTATAAACTGCTTTTCTTCTCTTTTATAAAATTTTTGATTAGTTTTGATGTTTATTACATTTTATACGCTTTAAAATATAAAAATCAATTCGTCACATCCTCAACCAAAATAAACACAACTCCCAATTGAAATCGTCCTCATATAATCGTTGTGGATACGCTTCACTCACATGCTTTACAATATCAAAAGTCTAGTTGTAAATTATATCCCTTTTTCTGCACTCCTCGTGTGTACAATGGCAACTGTAAAATTCGATTCAACATCGATGAAATATAGACTACCACTACAACACAACTCTAACTAGACCAAACTAGACCCTAGAAAAGGGATGAAAATATGTGCGAGTATTGCGATTCGGTGGCATGTTTGTGCATGGATTGTTTGCGCCCCTAATTTGCACCGAAGAGGGTAGTTGCACCCCTTACGCAGAGGGTGAAAAGTCAAGAAATCGAGTACTACAACTGTCCCCGATTTTGAGCCGGCGCTGATGTGTCCGCTGCAGTATTTATCGAGGGTAGTTATTAGTGAGTAAGGGTAGTTCCACTACGACGTCGAGATGAATGGAATGCGCATTCATAAACACACAATACTCGTAAAATCAAGCGGCGCGCAAACGGCTATTTAGTGCACTCGACTGTAAGGCAGGTGTGTGGATGTCAAGCATCATCCCTTAGTAGTTGGGATCAGGAAGTTATTCTTTTGAAATTGGTCAAAAATTAGTCAATTAGAAGTAATAAATATCAAAACAACGTGTATTGGGTTGCATATACTTAATATTTTGTATAATAAGTTGCATAAATTCACAAAAAATTTTTTTTATTTTTTGCAGTTTTGGCAGTTTTTACACTCCCCTAAAGTGTGAATTTGAAAAAAAAGTGAAAAATAAAATCAATTGCATTTTTATAGTGCGCCACTTTGCACTTTTACGACTTTTGCTGTAAACACATTGTATATGTTTCTGCAACCCTTACAAAAAACAACCAACATAGGTTCAAATGGTGTAAACACGTTTAAAATTGACGTTCACATGGGATTTCAAGATTCCTAACGAAATTATTCGCTCGTAAAAAATTTATTTTCGTAAATTTCTGCGTTCTCCAGCGTGAAATAAAACCTCCGCATGGTAAATAATCTAATTTGGTGACAATTGCCCAAATAACATTTTTATATCACTTTAAAACAATAAAAATATTTATTTTAAATCCCCCCGCCCTCTATGAGTGAATAATTGAACTAAAATGCATTTTAACCTATAAATATAAAAATCGGCGCGTAATTTTATGCAAACTGAATAAATTCATGAAGCTGACTGACTGACAAGTTGAAGTCAAAGACGAAATTGAAGTTGATGTAGAATTTACATTCAAATTCTGCGTTCTGCAGCTCAACTCATGCAAAATACGCTCGCTCGACGTTGTCGTTCCGTCGCAAAACAATTGATGAGCATAAATTGATAAAGGAATAACTCGCTATGGTGCATATCTGCAGCGGTAGCTTTTCAACCAACTGTCCGCGAGTTGTTTTATGCGCGCTTGATATTTAAATACGCGCGCAATATAAGAATTTAGTGAGCGTCGCATGAATTATGTAGATGCGGCGAGTTGTGCGCATTCGGCACCGGTAGTTATCCGATTGGACATATTGATATCCCTTTTGGCGTGCACGTCGTCGTCGACGTTATTAATCGCTCGCAATTTACACACAATGCCAATTCCGCGAGAGATGCCGCTCGAGCATTTTAGCTGCAAGTAGTTTTGCCATGCAGAACAAAGCAAGAAACATGTGTATGCGAAGATTTGCATGTGTAAATCGAGGGTGGGCGACGAAACATTGCGGGCAATACATGTAAAAGTAGCAAATTATTAATTTGTATTATTATAGGTTTTAAAAGAGGTTATGTCACTTTTTAACCTAGAAAAACTTAGGAATTCGTTTTTTTGTCATTTTTATATCAAAAAACGTTAAATTTTGGTAGAAAAATGAGGTTATGTTGAAAATTTGATTTATTTGAGTTTAATGTGCATGATTGTGGCAAATTATTAATTAATTTGAGTGATTTGGGTTCTTAAAATAGGTTATGTAACATTTTAACCTAAAAATCGTCATTTTTTAACATAAAAATCTATTTTTCTACGTTTTTTATTAACAAAACAATAAATTTATGTAAAATAATGTATTAACAAATAATTATGTTTGATGCACATGAAAATTTCAATTTTTCCATGCGTTATTTGCATTTCTTTGATCTTTTTTTTTATTAAGTAGCCATGTAACGTTAGTTTTTACCCCTAAAACCCCCGCTACTTGAGCTTTTGAAGAAAAAGCTCATACGATGCAAGAGTTTTTTTAATCGTTCGCTTGTTGCAACTTGGCTACTTGAATTCGTTTTGCGTTCTCGTGACCCGACGAGATTCCGTAAAATCGTTTGAACGAAAATTCCCCACGAGCCAACCCGCGCGGAAAAAACGCGCTCTCGTATGCGCGACACGAAGAAATCGACGCCGCAGGTAATCGTCGGCATTTCGCAAACAATCCGAACATAAATAAGTTGTCTCTCTGCGCGCGGTGCGACTGCTGCGCATTTTCGGTTTGCTTGTAGAGAAAAAAAAAACAAACAGCGTGAAAAACTTACAATCGACACGATTTCGACATGAATCTAATTCACGACGCACGCTGACATTCCAATTGGAAAGCAATTGCATTTCGAACTAGTTTCCACCATCGGCCATATTTAAGTACTAACGCCATCTATGATCCAATAAGTAATATCTTTTTCCTTGTGGATGAAACCCAAATAGGCATAAACGAAGAATGTGTTGAATGTTCGGTATGCGGTTTGCTTTGTGACACGGTCACTGGTGTTGACCACTTCAACCCGTTCGCGTGACCAATCTGACAGATTGATTTATCGATTGCCAGTGTGTGATTTGTCCTACCTACACTTCTACACTCCTAGAATCACTCTCCTAGGGGAGACTACAAACATACTTGTCAACTGAAACACATTTTTGTGTTTTGGAGCTCTACTTTACCGACATTGCACCAATGCAAGCACAATCATGCGTGTTAAATATGATGTTATTGTAATAACAGTTATTAAAATGTTTCGAGGGTGGAAAATCATCTTCCGCTCCACTGGGCGGCGCTTGCGGTTTAATATCTCGCATGTGTAATAATTTGCTTTGTTCTGTGTTGCAGTGGGTCCGCTCTTTGGCGGCGGCTTCGCCAACAGCTACGCGTTCAGCATTCCCGGGCTTCAATCGGCTGCGGCGGCGGCTCATGGACTTAAAAGTGGATTTCTTTTTGACCACGGTAAGTGAAACTATAATAAAATATGTTTTTGGGTTCAATTCGCGCCAAAAATGTTTATTTTTCTTTGAAATGCGCTCTACTTTACCGACATAACTAAAAAATTATTTTTTTCTGTGTTTTTGTATACAATTTTTGTCAAAAACGTCAATTTTAATCAAAATGAGCTCTTCTTTACCGACATAACCAAAAATCTATGTTTTTGGATACAAAAAGTGCTAAAAATTATTAAAATGAGCTCTATTTAACTTAAAAATAGTTTTTTCTATCTTTTTATATACAATTTTTGCTAAAAATGTCAATTTTGTTCAAAATGCGCTCTGTTTTACCGACATGGAGGTTTATATTGCATTTACCACTCAAAACGAATCTTAACCTTACTTTACTCGACTCTTTGTCATTGAAAGTATGAAAAGTATGAAATTTAATGTGTTATCACACAGTTTGTAGACTTTTTGTAAGCTTTAATGGCCTTTTGCACAGCCTTTGCACATTGAGGTTATCTCAAGATGGCGACCATTGTGCTCGCGTGAATTTATGACGTGACGGGCGTCTTATCGTTTTATTACCTCCGTCTTTATCTTGTTTTCATGTTTTTATTTGTTGTCCATTTTTCGCAACTGTTGAAGTTTGCAAAGGGTGACAATCGTCCTGCTTTTACGGTTAGAAATCTTTTTTCGCCCCCATCTCCTTGAACGCCTCGCCAAAACGAAATTAAACGAGAGTCTAGCGTTTTAATGCTTGCCACGTCGCTCCTCGCGGCTTGCAAAGAGCACCAGCCCCATTTAAAGACGCATTCTTTTAACAGTATACGAGGGTGTTGAGGGTGTCGGACGCAAAGTAAAAACTCGCCGATTGCAGATCTCATCATCTGCTACTTCCTGACATCTTGCCGAAAGTATAATCTTGCAATGGTCTTAAGGGTCGCGTGAAAAAGGGAAAAAGAAGGGAATTTAATTAAGTAAAATTACACTGCTTGTTCTTTAATTATGTTAGTATCAGAGTTTTTACGACGCCCGAGCAAAGATCTCGATATCTCGTGACTCCGCACCCTCTAACTTGGTTCACGAGTAGAGGTGAAACCGGTGGGTGGCTTCCCCTCCAAAGGCTGTGCTCCAGTCGAGCGAAATAAAAGTCGGGCGCGCATATTGCGTCGCATCCCGGGACGCGCTTCAGCGATCAAAAGGTGTTGCGAGGAAATCCAATAAAACCCGTCAGCGTATAAACAGAACAGGTTCAAGGGATGCGCATTCGAAACAAATTTTTAAACAAACCCGAGCGATACATAACCTAACCTAACCAATAAAGTAAAGTAAACTTACACAACTGACATTTTTATATCTGGACAATGTTAATCGGATTAATATCTGACTTTTTCGGAGTATGTGTCAAAAATGTTATTCATTTCAGTATTCCCACTTGAATGCAACTGAATGAAAAGAAAATTTCGCTAGGGTGCATGCGAGGGGAGACCCAAATTTGACATGATGTTGATGTTGATGTGAGCAGGCGAAAGGAAAGTGAGAAGTGCTTGTCAGTTCACATAAAAACCTTCAAACATAACATACAATAACAAAAATTGTATTCCTCTATAACTAACGCCATCTACGTTTAAAAATCAGTATTATTTCATCAATAGAACTTCAAACATAACCTAAAGTAACAAAAATGATTTTATCCTATAGCTAACGCCATCTACATTAAAAAATCACTATTATTTTATGTTTAAAACGTTAAACATAACCTAAATTAACAAAAATTATATTTTCTTATAACTAACGCCATCTGCATATAAAAATCAGTATTACTTCATATCTAGACCCCCAAACATAACCTAAAATATCAAAAAATTATTTTACCTTATAACTAACGCAATTTAAAATTTACAATTATTTTACTGGAAACCCTAAAACCTAGAAATTTTTATCAATACTAAAATCACGATTTATACGAGTAGGTATTGAGTTGTAAAGTGTTCCAATTTAAATTCTAAACCCCGCAACCCTTAACTTAACTTAACTTAACGGCTATTTTAAAGCGGTGGCGGGTTTTGTTCGCCGCCCGCCGGAAAGCAATTTTCCACGGATGTGTGATATCATCATCCCTCGTGTGAGCATGAGCCATAAGCATGAGCCGCTTTAGATTATCCTCGCTTCTTGACGGTGGCGGTGGCGGCGGCAATTTGCGCGATAACGCGCTTGTCTGACAGATGGCCCACACATGTTTCCACCCCCTGGAAGTGCTTTCTTAGGTAATAGTGTGGCCTTCTAAACAAACACCTTCTTTGCATATCTTATATAGGTAATTTCGGTGGAGAGGGTTGGTGAAGTGGGTATTAGGGGATGAAATTGGTGAATATAAGAATTTTACATGCATATGTGATGAATACTGATCATATAAAATTTTCTTTTTAAATTTTGTGTAAATTACACGTTTTAAAAGGAAAAATTATGAATTTTTAGGTTATGTTTGTTTTTTTATTGATAAATTTGTTATTTTTACTTGTTTTTGTGTTAAATTTTGAGGTGTGGTTCGTTTTACAACCCTCTCGCGATTGGTTAGCAGCTGCGCGTTTATTGTTGCACGCGAGGCGGCGTCTTTCAGTGGCGGGGGCGGCTCCGCCTTCCAGTTTTGCGCTTTGCGCTCGATTTTCATCCACACACACATACCAACATTTATTTATACAGACGGGACGAATGCGTGAAGCACGTTTTTGCAAGGCGAGCGCGCCTCGAATGATTTCATCGCCGGTTACGAGCTTATTTCCAACAACCGCCCCCCGAATAGGTGCTTACTACACACGCAATCGTAAACGGCGGCCGTCGACGAATGAGCACATGAACACCAAGAGATAACGGTTTAAATTATTGCCTTTAAGCGTTTTCGTTTTGTCGTCCTTTTGAGAGGAAATTCCGAAACAGGAATATGCGCGGAATGTGTTTGGGAAATTGTATTCGATTTTCTTTTCGATTCACGTATGCAAAGCGAATTAAACCGGAACGGAACGTATTCTTTATCTGCTGTGGAATTCTTTTCTTGGTGGAGGAGCAGGAAGGAAATGTGTTTACAAAGGTTTTGGTGTAGTAGGATAGATAGTCAGGTTATTGCATCAATGTTAGTTCAGTAAAATAGGTATAGATGGCGTGTGTTCCATGTATTGCTGTTTTTTGGTTTATATTTTAATTGAATTTTCATTTTTAAATTGTTTTCTGAGGTTTTTTGTTATTTAGAGTAGCTAGAATAGCTAGATTTGTGGTTAATTTTAGTTATTTTAACCATATTTAAACATATTTGTTTGTTTGTGACGCTTTCATGCAAAAACCACTGAACCAATTTTGATAAATTTTAGAATAGAGACAGTTTAGACCAAGGAAATGGAAATAGCATACTTTTAATTGCAAAAATATAACATACAGGGTGTTAAATTAGGTATAAAAGTTTGATTATCGTTACAAATGTAAAACACGTGTATTATTTAGCTATTTTGCTTTTTCTTTTCTCCTTTTTAATTTTTTTCTGTTGAGGTGACTTTTTGATACGTTTTAGCTTTAATTTCATTTGTGGCGAGTTGAAATTTATGAAAAGCTCACACACAATCGCCGCCCGCAAGCAAAACACACCGCAGTCGTGGAAATTTATGGCTGGAAATATTAGCCGCAATGTCGTTGACAGTTTCGTGGCTTTCAGGGGTTGTTGCGTTGTTTATTCGCTTACGGTCGTATTTTGAGCAAACCGCAATAAGATGTCAACAGTCACACCGTCACGCGCAGCGCAAATAAAATAAATGTCAATGATTTCTGATTTCAAAACTCACCCTTATTACTTTTCAAGAATTATTACCTTTCTAAAATTAATATTAATAAATTTTTTCGTTTATTTTCATTTTTTAAGTTTTTTAACCATCGAACACACTGTATATATTTATACGTAAAACACAAGTCCACCTAATACTCGTAATAATATGTTTACGTATATTAAAATCGCCCGTGATTGATGGTAAATGGTAAACTTGCATAACACACTTTTGTACGGTGCGACGCTTTTTCACCCTCCGCGGCGGCGAGGGTGAAATGCTCTCCGTGAATTGTTCGCGGCGGTGGGCGGCATTCCGGAGCGGGACGCTTTTATTATGTCATTTTTTTGCGGGCGCGCTCGGCCGCTGTCGGGCGATAACGTTATTTTATGTAACTAATAATAATATCCCTCCAATATGCTCGTTTCATTGCGTAGCCACTCGAGAGGGGTCGAGCTTTTAATGGCCGATGTTGCCGCGTCATGCGACATGATTCGAACACGATTGGTACTTGTTTTATTATCACGCGCTGTTGCCTGTTATTTCGGAGTAAGTGCGAGTCGTAAAAAATGTACTTGGGTTTAAACGGTTGCGGTATTTTATGAGAGAAGTGGAATAGTTTAATAATGTGATTAGAAATGATGTAAAAGTAAAATTATCTTTGATTCTTTTTAGTGATTTGTTGAGTTTAATTTATTTATTAAAGATTTTCAGGTTGTTATTTACTAAATTGGCACTTTAGCGCCCTCTTCAGTTGAATTTTATAACTATAATTATAATAGGATAGCCATATCAACTTTCTTTGCCAATTTTGCACTTTTTAAGTTAAAATTTTGGGATAAAAAGTAGCCTATGTTATTTTCCTTGGGCTAAACTATTACTATTGCAAAATGTATCCAAATTTATTGAGTGGTTTTGGTGTAAACGTGTCACAAACAAACAAACTTTTATTATTCTTGTTTATGAGGATAATAAGTAATTAAAAATGTTATTATAAAGATTTTAATCGAAAACCTTCGATAGTTTACTATAAATATCGAAATGTCATCCGGTATCCTTTTAAAACCTGCTTTAAGAAGATTACACCTGATTTTGTGCGATTAACGCGATGTCACGTTGTAATTCTCCGGTTTACTTGCTGCTCACTTCCGGAAAGACCCTTTTAAATGCTTACCAACATCCCTCTTGAGTAGGGTTGAGCATTAACGGT